GATGAGATACTGATAAGTTCTTCTAGGATCTCCCTCCAACCATGATTCATATTGCTTGATGTCATACATCATCAAATTGGAGTTTCTGATCTTCTTGTATAATGCATCACGCAACCAATCATCTTGGGGCACATCCTCAGGCATCATGTTGGAGACAATCTCCATCCACTTTTCATAGAACGTTTCAATGTTGGCATCACCAAGGTATCGTGATTGAATGATATGCTCCATAGTGAAGGCAGTTTCACGTTGACCTGGTGTCCTGAAATGCTCCAGAATCATGGCAAGAATCTCTCGCCCCATGACAAAGGTTGATCTCCGATTGCTGGCTTGGGTTCTCAGTCGAAGCTTGATTGCAACATGTCGAGCTACATCACCAGCTTGCGAAATAACGTTTGATAGCGCAATAGAAAGCTTCGCATCAATCGACTGAAACCTTTGCCCTCCACTATCATTCAGAGCATCGATGTCAGGGTTTTGCCTGAGCGCAGGTTGTAACCAAGCTTCCCATGCGGCTCGATCGCCGTCGTTGGCAGCGAGGCATACACTTTTAATCAGATCAGATTGCCAAACGCCCAGATTCTGGTGCTTTGGCCACGGACTGATGTAGACTTTGTCCGCTTCTCGCAGTGAAAGCAGTCGTAGACTCCAAATCAATTGCTGATTCCCTCTGCGATCCACGAAGCGAAGGTAAACCAGGTGGATTGGGAGGTCCAGGAGGCCCGTTAGGATCAGGAGGCCCATCTGGGAAGTCAGGATCATCGTTGCCGTCAGGTCTTCGATAATTGGGAATTCCTGCTCCTTCATCCACGCTGACCCCTTTCCCATCCAGAATCTTCTTGTTGACCTCACGCAAGAGTTCGGTCACTCTCTGATTCTCAGGATGTGAGGGTTGCTGATGTGCATGTCCTGTACCCGCAGCGGTGTTAGAATGAGCTGTCGCAGATTCTTTGTTGAGCTCGTCATCAAGCTGTCGAATCCAGGCACGTAGAATATTTGACTCATCATTTGCTGCCTCAACCTCACTCTCCAACTTGCCGATCATCATATAGGGTGACAGGGCACTGCTTGTGATACCTGCAGAGAAGGGAAGCGCATTGAGATTCTCTTGGCTTTTGATGGCTATCTCTGCGTCTATGAGACCTTTCCTTAATCTGGATATCTCCGCATCTTTCATCACCAATTTCTCATCCCTATCTCTCAGCTCACCCAAATATTCACATGATGGTTCGTATTGTTGGGCTCCCGTAGCTAACTTGTACTTGCGTTCGCTTTCAAGTTCAGTCCTAAGGATAGCGACCTCGGATCCGAAGGGGGTCGCTGACCCTTGCCTCGAAACCTCGGCCAATTCATCCTTCAATCTGATGTTGGTGTACATACATTCATCCATTTCCTCAGAAAGATCTTGGGCCCTAACCTGTGCGACCTTAACCTCAGTTTCGAGATGTTGTATAGCATGTTGGTTAGAACCGTGGCCGATGGCCATTGGGCCCTCCTGAAGAGATCGTCTCAGTTTGACGTTTCGGTCCTCGATCTCTGTCTTGAGCTCGTTCGTTAGCGCTCGCTCATTGTTGTAGAGCATTTCATAGTGCTCCATCTTCTCACGAGCGTTGGAACTGACACTTGACTCAAACCTCAAGTGAGCAATCGCCTCAGCCTCGGTATTCCTGTAATTTGCAAACCGTTTGACTGTGTCATGTTCTGTGTTTCGATGACGTAGATCACTCTCCAGTTTAGCATTGTTGGCTTCATTGATTTTCTTGCGATACTCTCTAGTGATCTGCTCCATGTTGTTTTCATACAACTCGGCTTGCTTACGGGAATGACTGATTGCTTCACTCAACATTTGGTTCTCATCAGTGAGCTCGTTGACAATGAAGGCTTGTCTTTGACTTGTCATCTCCAAATGAGTATGTGAGAAGTTTGCCAGTTCGGATTGCCTACGATATTCCACTATGGAACTTTCAAGATTTCTCTGCATCTCGTTTCCTTCCTTATACAATGTTTCGGCTACACTCCTAGCAAGGCTACTGTCATGTTGCATCTGTTGAAGACGTGATTCAGTATGCCCAAGTAGTCCTTGAAGGTGGTGCACCTCGTCCTTGTACTCTTCCTGGATCTCAATACCACGTTGGTGGATTCGTCTGGCACCATGTTCGGCGAGTGCACCTCGACGTTCAAGTTCTTCGATACGAATGGTTGCACCTTCATCTTCCTTGGAGGCTAACATCAACTCAGCATGGTATTCAGATACTTCATTCGTAGAGTACATCAATCGTTTGTTGAGGGTGTTACAGTAATTTCATTGAATACCTGTTGATTATGTCCGCGAAGATATTCGGTGAACTTGGCCTCAATGTCCTTAATGACTTGGTCCCTTGAAGCAGCGTACATCTCGGTTTGTGTCACTTTCTCTCTCAGAATTTGACACTGTTCTCTCAGTTCTTCAATGATAGCTATTGGTTCACTGCTACCACGTGCTTCTGTTGATCTTCTTTTGGCACTAACATCACTTGACTCCCTACCATGTTTGTCCTCGACTGCCCTCGGGGTCCTGTGTCCGGTAGGTGTCCTTCTCGGTGATCGGTGGCTTCGTCGTGCATTCCCACTTCGAGCCACATCACGTGCCGATCTTGGAGTACTGGTGGTTGATGCTCTTCGATGTCTGGAAGTCATCTTTTGCCATCCAGATTTTGTCGTCCTTGTCGACTTTCCCCCGCTGTCAGCTGTTCCTGGAGAAGATTGTGATATACCTTCTGCAGGGGCTGCGGCGTTGCCGTCAAAGGTGAACTGCGTCTCTCCGCTGTCGCCTTGCATCTTTGCGATGCTGGTGCCGATCGGATTTCACGATCTTTTGCACCCAACGTTGGTTAACAGCACGCAGGTACTCCGCCTCCGATGGAGGTTGAGAGCCCTTACGGCTGATAACCTGTGAACAGAATGATCCCTGTTCCGGATGTGGTTCAACTCGTTTCAGAATACCCTGCGTTTGTGTTTACCAACGTTTCAACGGCATGCAGCGGAAGCGCAATTGATTTTCCTTGGTATGGGCGCTTGAGCCAAACATTGCGTTTGGCGGTCAATCCCTTGAAATACAATGGGAAGTATGTATACTGTATTCCCATCTAGTCCCCATTTGCATATATATTAGGAGATTGCATAACCCCTGAAGCAATCATCAACCAACAGGTCTGTCTTCGAACGCAGCCACTTCTCACCATCCAAGTGGCTTTTTCTTCTTTTTGCTGCTCACACGGCTTGTGATCACGTTTAGCTCCTAGCGTGTGATGGTGAAAAACCTGGCTGGGAAAGTCATGAACTAAATATGTGCATTGAAGTGAGAAAACCATGAAAAACCATGAAACACATCTCACAAATAAGGGATTTTCCGTGGCCATGTTTGTCGATGTCCTTTTGTGACGCTGATTTGGGAACTGGTGATTTTCCGTGACGAAAAAGTGCTGGGAACATGACCGACGGAAACATGGGGAAACTGGGACTGGTTGGTGGTGTAATAACCATCTTGAAAAATGATGGAGTTCGTCAATGGGAAGGATGACATCCCATATATGAAATGGAAAATAAAAGCCATGTTTGAAAGCACCAACCAGGGGATAATTAGCCTCATAACTTTCTTGCCAGAACATCCCCAGCTTCTGGATCTTCTGGTCACAGTATCCCTTTCTCATTATTGAAACTTGAGATGTCATGACTTTTCAGTCTGTGAACCATCCAAGGCTGTTTTGGTCGTTTCCCATGAATCAATCGCAAGAAAAAATCGGGCCCCATTCAAACCAGTTTGAGACAAACCCTGTCAAATCTCCAGTTTTGATGCTGAATTCCCCACTTGTTGACTGGTTGACCAGTCACCGCGTTTCAACTGAGTTACGATCCTCCATGAATTTACAGGGTGAACTCTCCAATTTTACGGCAGTTGGGTTATCCTCCGTGTTGGGTTATCCTCTGGCAGTTTGACATAGCCATGGAAAATCCCCCCGGAATGTGAAACATGGTCGTTTTAACCACGGCAAACACCAGCAGCTAACTCCCCCGTACATAAAGACTTAAAGCGTCTGCAAAAATCATGTCACAATCTGAAATTTGAAATCTGCAAATGTCACAATCATGTCACAATTTGAAATTCAAGTCTAGATGAGTTTCCTATCTGCAAACGATCTTCACCGGGTAAGAACACTCCGCTGTTCGCTCCATCTCCAACTCATTGGGGAGTTCCAAATTGGCACCTGGGACACTTTTGGAGCAGATGGGGAACTCATCCCCTGAAGGTTGAAGCCGTTGAAGCCTCATACATGTGGATTTGGTGACTGAAACTGGTGGATGTATGGTTTTTGGTGCCGTTTTTGGTGCCTGAACATATGATAAAATATGGTTGAAGCCTCACCTCGCTATGGCCATTTTCATAGGGAAACTCCCAGAAATTGGGGTCAAACATAGTCAAAGCATCAACCAAAATCTGGATGACGAAGAGGATCATCTATATCCCAAAAAAAGCTCCAAACACCCAAACACCTGATTTCACTGCACATTTGTTGGGGATGGTGAAATGGGGTCCAAACATCTGTACAGAGGGTATGAGGGGAGCACGGGATCATATGCTTAGGCTTAGTCCCGTGTCTGATTTATGATATGCTCACCGAAAGAGTCGTACCACAAGGTCATCATCAATATGTAATCCAAATCAAAAATGGCAAGCGATCGCTACCATTTTCGATACCCCCAAAACAAAACCCTGGTTACATGCATTGGATCAGTTCATGTTATTTCATCATATTTCATCTTGGATCTTGGGGCATTTCTTGGGACTATATCATTGAACTATGTTTTACCCTCTGGCAATTTAAAATTTCGCTATTGAAAATGACCCAGTCGAAATCGTGGATTTTCCCATTAAAATCATGGTGGATCTTTCCATATAAATCACCATTTTCTCATGGTTTTCCCATGGTTTTCCCATGGTTTTCCATAGCTACCAACGCAGCCTTGTGGAGCATTTCGCGACACCACCTACCGATGGAAAAGAGATCAGGGATGCGAGCTTTCTACAGATCCTGCCGTGGTGTTTTTTGTCCACAAAGAGAGAAAAGACACGTGAAATTCCTAAGATTTTCTAGGTTTCTTACAGAATGGCTGAGCAAATCTGATGAAAGTTGGAAAGCATATGGCTGAGCCATAAATAGCCATAATATGTCCTCATAATTCCAATAATTTCCTCAACAATAATCTGCCATAATCTGCCTTGGCAACCCTGAAAGTTGGCTGAAGATTTTTCTGAACGAAAAATTCTTTGGACGCCAGAATCGCCTCAGCTCCAGTACCAAACACAATGTGTATATGATATATGATATATGTATTACTGTATTTTTTTTACTGCATATCATATAGATTCATATAGATTCATGCACCTATTATAGATCATCCTGTGAAAGCCGAACATCTGTTTTCCACCAAGCACTTAAGTGCAATCCTAGCTTCCGATGAAAAATCCGAACATGAAAAGCCCACCATCCCCATCAGCCCATCAGCCCTCATTCCCCGCCTTGCTACTAATGCGACTTCCTTCGCTGCTCATCAAACCCAGAGCATCTTGCAGGTCATTGACTCGTTTCGACAAAATCAGCACTTTCGTGTTGGATTCCTGCAGACATTGCAGACCAACTTGCGATGGGAACAAGTTCCAAGTTCACCCCAGTTGTCATCCCACGGCCCGAAAAATGGGAATCTATGAGATGACTCAGCATGCCACGGCGTATCAGATCATGGTCCTACTTAAAATTACCACACATTGGTGTGTATATATATATAGCATGTTATATATATATATTATCTATATATATACATATCACCATGAGACAACTCCAGATCAATAAGATCTCCAGTGTTCTGAGCTGGTGAAATGCCCAAAATTCCAACTCACCTGCAGGCGGCGCCCCGGCACCTTCAATTGCACGTTCATGGTGGCCATGTCTTTCCGTGCTTGATCCAGATCTTTCCGTGTCAAATACGACGAGGCCTGCGACCATCAGAATCAGAATGGCTCAGAATTCACCCATCCAAACTTCACCATATTTTTCTGGTGAGATTGATATCTTCATGTTGAAGCTGATTGTATCCCAAGTGTATCCGATTATCCCAACATTCATCAAAGCTCATCAAAGCTCATCAAAATTAGCCCCTTTTGGCTGCTTGCACCAGCTACATCCCAAAACTACTGTCAAAATATGTTTCCAACACATCCCACAAACATCCAAAAACTGATCCACCCAACCATCAACAAACGCAGGTAAAGTCTTTTGGGGATATCCCCATTGTTTCCAAAAATCGACGACCATCTTCACCAACCACTCACTAACTGCTCTTCAATTGCCCATGGCTAAAAAACAATTTTAGATACCACTAAGATACATGTTTAAGCTGGGTATGTTATATGTTTGGTTTGTTCCCGTAAAATGGAAAGTTAGACAAAGAATGCTACGTAAACTATCTTAGCCCCTAGCTTCTACCAACGCATATCAAACTACATCTCGAGCTTTACTGGACTATCCAGACTAGATGAAATCATCAAAAAATCGGTCAACATAATATTGATCAACATCATTTCCCAAGGTCCCCAACTGGGTTTCCACGGTTCTCCTATTAGCAACTGGCCCTGATGCCCCGCTCACCGCCGTTGTCGCCGTCGCCTGCAACGAGGAAAGCTCCGCGTTGGTCTCGCGGAGCTCCTCGAAGCGCAGGTTGTTACTCTCGCGCAGGCCTTCCTGAGACCACGGTGCCACATGGAGTGACATGGACGGGGTTGAGATATGGTAATCTAAAATATATATATATAGTTTAAAATAACTCATCACATACTAATTGGATCTAAATGGTAACTTAAGATCGCACACAACCATATACCTCATGGTGTATAATATCTATGTTTACAGTCCTGTGTATAGTTTGTGTGTGTGTCATTATGTGTCTATTGTACGATGTGGCATTCATGTATGCAAATGTCATATGGCTATGGGTCAATACCTATAAGTACCATTTTTAGTGGGATGAACATCCATTTACCAGCTATTTTGGGGTTCACCAGGGGTACAAGGTTTTGACCCATCCCTATATAAGTCACACAATCAGATCTACAACATTCCAAGCAAATGATGGGCTTAGGTTTGCAAGACACACTCACTGCGGCTGGGAATCTACCCTGGCAATTGGAAAGCTCCAATATATATATATATATAATACATATATATAATATATAATACTATATATAAAAATGTATATATATATATAGTAACCCGGGAAAAAAGGAAAAATTAAATCACCTTAAATAGCGGCAAAACATGGCAAATGTCTTTCTTTAATCTTCATGGGGGGTTACTATACTCTTTCTGTTTGTTTGAACCTTGAAACCCTATGAGATCTTTGGGGCTTCAGCGCCAACCACCCATCCACCCTTTCGGAATTTTACCCAGCGACAATCTTTTGACGGAGCTCGTTACGCTGGCTGATCACCACCCTGCGTTGGTTGCCATGGATAACTGTTTGATACTTTTTGGCTTTGGAATCTTGGAATCTGAGGATAGACTTACTAGCCGTAATTCATCCAATAAGTGGTTACTTACTGGGAAGCATATGGTATGATTGGGTTGTACAGTTGGATTCCCCATTCGAATGGGTGATGGAATGGGGAATCATACTTAACGGCTATCAAAGTCAATGCGGAAATGATGTTACGGGCTTTGGAGGTTTTACCATCATTTTAGGACAAACGCATTTGCTGAGCACGATGAACCAAATATAATTTACAGCCCAAACTCCAACCTGGAATCCACATTTATGGCAACATCTTCCGTCCTTCAGACCCGTTTCTTGGTTCCAGGCTAAATTCCAGGTGGTGTAGGGAAGGTCGTGAATGGGATTGCAGCGGGTGGTATTTCCTATCATATTCGCGCTGGTGAGTGAAGTTGGTACCAGAAACCCGCTTGCCTTCCAGGCAAAGTACCAGATGTTTGTTCCAAGAAACATCCCTAAATCCATGTAAGGTATAATCTGGTTCCATGTACCATCTGGTTATTTAACATAGCCATGGAAAATCACCATTTTTAATAGGTAAACCATCTATTTCTATGGGCCATCTATACCATGGCTATGTTAGTCATAACCAGATGGTAAATATACTAACATGGGGATGGGTCAAAACCCTGGTACCTAGTGAACCCCAAAATAGCTGGTAAATGGATGTTCATCCCATTAAAATGGTATTAATAGGTATTGATCCATACCCACATTCTGATAGATCAGAATCTGGTTCCATGTCACAATCAATCCTAACTCACTATCAATCCAACAACTCTGAGGATCGTTTCGAAACCATTGGTGACGAAAAAAATCGTGCTTGCATTGATCTTTATCTATGATTTCAACTACTGGTCGTTAAATGTAGATTAAAACTATTGTTAAAAATCAACTACTGTTAATGGATTTGCCTAATTTAAAATGTCAACTACTGGTGTTAAAAATCTACGGTTTTAAACTTCTGCAATGTCCCCGTCGAATCCAAAATCTGTTTTGGGGCTGAGGGGTCTCCAATCTCCAGTGGCAACAAAAAACACCCCACGAGTCAGGCATGCCCCGGTCATAGGCAACGCAACTGGTTTTGCTCTATCAGGTTGGTACTGTTGTACAGGGACTTATGACACAACTATGGCGAAGCTTGGAGACTCCTGGAGCAAAAGGAGCTGGATTTTAGTTTCTCCTTTGGCAATCCGTTGATGGCGAAGTTCGCCCCAAAATCATCTAAGACTCATCCAAAAATATCCAAAAATCATCCAAAATCATCCCGAATCCTCAAGCACCGGTTGAGAAGCACACACGACAAGGACCTCCAAGGCAGTTCCCCAGACCCCACGTCATCCCACGGCAAGTGCCCCGGCTCGTAACTCTCGTTCTCCTTCTGTGCATTTTGTCGATCCTCACGGAATCGATGAGGTTGGCGTGGCAAAAAAAAAACGACCCTCTGGTTATGACTAACATAGCCATGGTATAGATAGCCCATTTATAGATTATTTTCCCAGCTAGAAACCTCCATTTATGAGGGATTGTCCATGGCTATGTTAAATAACCAGATGGTAAAATGTGTTAAGATTCGGGTGAATGTGGTGAAAGTCACTGAGAAATCATCTGACATGAAGCCAATGTTAACTATATAATATCTTGATGTCGCAAACATCATATTCATATTACCCTTCGGAAATCAAACGTGGCAATGGGAAATCCCCTGTAAGTAATGGAGGTATTTTAATGCGGCAATCATCTATGAATGGTGGATTTTCCATTGCAATGTTCGATTGCCAGAGGGTATAAACAGTAAGTACAAATACATATGCAGCAAACTGTAGTTAACGTCCAGGGTTCGAAATGGTATCCTGGCAACATTAAGCTAGAAAGACTTGGTTACCAGCGCAAAACGACATGCACACCGGTGATAAGGGGTGGTCCAGACTGCTTTCAAAACGTTGGGGAGGTTCCATTGAATATCAAGGATAAGAAGCTTCTGGTAAACAAGCATACCAACGCATGATTTGTTGTGGGAAAACCGTCTACACATTCCTGTATGATATTGAAGTGAAATTTCATATGAACCCATGTCTCGGACATGTCACGCGTACGGACCCATCTGCGATGTCAGGTTCCCGGCGAACTGGACTGCGACAGCCTTTTCTGCGATGTCAAGTGTCGTTAGAAGATGTCATGTTTTCCTGCAATGTGCTGCTCCTATGACACCGTTGTCGGAGTGCTGAGAAGTGACACTTCTGTGTCTAAATCCCTCACGAATTGTGTGTACCTCGATAATTTAGACTATTTTGTTCTTGATCTACAGTAGTTGTATGGCAAGAAGATCTTGGCATTGCCTTCATGAGGACCTTGAATGTCGGAACTTTGGTATATGGGTATGTCTGACAATGGGATGTTGCCCCCTTAAGGCTCGAGTAAAACTTTTGATACAGTAGGTTATCTTTAAAAACAAAAATATTTCAGTCAACATGTTGCTGTGTTTCCTTAAACATGTTGTTTTGTTCTATGACATATCTCCGCAACAAATCCGCCGCTCAGCGCATATCAATGCCACGGCTGTAGTTGTAGAGGACTCCGCCGGCTTGCCATTCCGGTCCCTGCAGGAAATGGAGATTCTGCCGACCAAAATGGTGGTATATATCTCCCAACCATAATGGGGATACAATGGGATATATAACATTATATAACAAGAATGTGTACATATATGTTCATATACTGTAATGTACATATACACATTGTATCACCCAAGCAAACTGGGGATGCAATGGGAGTGAATGGGATGTAAATATTATATATATATAACAAATAAAAAGCTGTCATGTTTCCATATTTCCCTGCAATGTTCGGTTCCTGGAGGGCAATTCTTCAGGAGCCATGCTGCGCACGCGGCGAAGCTTTGGTTCGCTGATCTCCCCATTCTTTCCTGATACATGTTCTAAATGTTCTATGAAATTCTATTAAACTCAAACCTCCCATGTCACTGGATATATCCCCACTGTAACATCCGGCTTTTGCTGACATATGCTGACATACCTCAATTATTTAAGCCAAGTTAACCCCAAAAAAGATGCAGCAAAAAAGTACATGTTCCACATTGTTCCACTATCTTATAGACGAGGTGTCCTACAAATGGGAGCACCCCCAAATCATCCATGTCATTTTCGGATTTGCCATTATCATTCATAAAATGACCCCTCAGTTATGGAAACCCCCAAATTATGGTACCCCCAAATCTCCATTTACTATTAAAACCTACATTATGCTACCGAAACTTCCATAGGATTTCTTTGACCATCTCTTTGGGGATTGCGTTTCCTTTCTCTTCCTTTCTCTTCCTGATCCCATGCTCGCCTTCCGCTCGTGCACGGGCGTGGCATTGGTCGTTGGCCAATTGTAAGGCGACGACATGTTCCTGTGGGCCATGCGGGTTCAGCCGTGGCTTTTTCGATGGGAATTCGATGGGAAGTACATGAGGCATATCACAGGGAAGCCATGGACTGATTGAAGGGAAAATCATGGAAAATTTACGAAACCATGTGTTTGGATCCTCAAATTTATGGATAAATATGGTGGTTGTCCTACATGTTTTTCCTTGAACCCATCCAGTGATTCGTGTTGACCAAACATCATGTTTAATCTCGTGTCAGATGGATATCCCATATGATTGATCACATCATCGCCTTATTATTCATGCAAAATCGTGGGTCAAATCCCATCTGAGATGCTGTTCCCTGAAAGCCTAGGGGTCAGGAGATCAAAAAAGATACCGATTGGAAGTGCTTGCCGACAAAGGCAAACATGTTTCGCCCTGTTTTACAACCTAAATTTCAGGAATAAACAAAATGGCCAAACCTATTACGTGCCTTTTTTTCCAACGTCAAAGCCAGGCTCCTCATGGTTTCAAAAAGTGAGATCCCCTTGATGTTTCCAGCACCAGATCCGTGTTTGTCCAAGGAATCCATCCTCATATCGTTATTGGGACCCCGATTTGTTTATGGCAATCATCCCAGAATGTTGCTCAAAATGTCTCATTGTCCCATCTACATACTTTTAAATCCCGTCAACTTGACTTTAGTCCATCAACTTACCCTTAAGAAGTTCGATGATTTTGCCAGCGAACTACACCTCCATGGCTAGTTCGGTTTTCCAGCCACGTTTGATGATCCCATCCCCCATCCCTTCCTCCCTTGAAGGCGACTCCCCAGAAACATGATTTGCCCCT